CTTTGCGGAAAACACTATTTAAAGAATATGGGGCCCTTAAAGTACCCAAAGTGGTACACAAAAAACAAAAACACTTCGACACGATCGAATCCAGATCCAACTGAATTGCGTATTGGTGGTTGGTGGACACCTTAGTACCTCGTGTTAATAAACCGCCGCGCTGTTGTCACATTGCCCCATATAAATTTTATCGAATTTTAAATTTATTACAACGCTAATTATTTTTTAGAATTAAGCATAAAGAAGTTAAAAAAAAAGTGATAAACATTGTATTTTATGGTATTCTCTGCAAGAATAAATTGTCATGACGCTTTCTACTACTAAATTGACTTTTCCGAAATACATCTGGCATCTGGCAGGTATATAGGTTTGTTATTTATCTAGAAATTATCGGTGATCGCAAGTAATACATGTCACGGGGTTCCGCTGCCGGTTTGTAGCAATCAACGTTGACGCCCACATCAAATTTAATAACAATTAATAATGAAAAAAGTTCTCCCCGGCTACCGCGTTCGGCAGTCGCGCTGCCGCGGCATCTTTCTGACTTTTATTGGATTTGGCGAAATTAAATTTTATGAAACTTGAATCCGGTCTGAAGTCGTGTTCGTGTAGTTTACACGGGCGTGACACCGTCAGGATAAATGAAATATTTATGACTTATCACGGATTTATATAAATGAAAGAAAGTTTATAAAACTTGTTACATATTTCGACCTGACAGCGTGTTCAAATTGAAAGGTCTTTAGACGATAAATTATTCAGAACGCCGATATTTTATGCTATGGTGGATATTTATAGGCCATTGTTTCGATTAATTCAATGTTAGGTAATACAGAGCGTTCATAAATGTTTACAAGACACGTGAGTGCCGAGCTTAGACAACCCAACAATGAACGATTGGTGCTGGTAACAAAAATTCCCTAAATCTTGGCGGCACCATTTTCAATCACAGCTGATGAAATAGAATGTTGTGAATGTAATCTTGATCTTATTATTTTAATTATTTTTAATTGCAAACATGAAGCAAACAAAATTACTGTTTCAAGCAAGATTACTAGTCACGTGGCTTAAAATCATTTGTGAAGGCTGTGTATAAGTGTGGGATATACAGGATGTCCCGAAAGGCCACGTCAAAAATGAAGGGTTGTACAGAGGAGCTCAAAATAATTGTAGTACTTCATAAAAAAAAATTTCCTATCGAGCTTCGTTGTGGAGTTATTCGCCTTCAAAGAAAGAAGTTTGAAACACAAATTCAGTTATAACTTCTAAGTCGTTACCATGACAACAATGAAATTTGGGCAATTAAAGTAATTCATGGCAATGTTCATTTTCAAGTTTAAACTGATATTCAATAAGCCTGAATTATACAGGAGCAGACAAAATGATCCATTTATATTTATACATCTTTGACAGTGTTGCCAAAGTTGATATTTTTCTTTCATAGTTCGATTCCTTTCTCACTTTGTTAAAAAAAGGTATACTGTACTTCAGTCGATACCGTTTTTTGGAAAATAGATTTTTATTAACAACATACATTTATTGTATCAAAAATTTGATACTAACATTTTTGTAAAAATCTTGGTTTCTATAGAATTAAAAGAAAAAAAAGAACCGAAAGTAAGAAGTTCAATATGTGCACCTTGAACTTCAATGCATTTTTTTGCTCAAACACCTCTGCTGTACTCAAAATAACATGTGGTGATCATTTCCAATGATGTCGGCGTATGTAATTATTGGATTTAATAATTCTTCCCTACTATTTATAGGAGTTTGATAAACAAGACTTTTAAGAGGGCCCCGAGAGAATTAAGATCGGAACACCGAGGCAGCCACGGAAAAACTTAAAAAATTATATTTAAAACACAACATTTTTCTTCTCTTCTTTTTCTTTTCTATTTTATAGAATTTATTTTAAGGAGATGAAAGAAAATCATTAAAAAGAAATTTTGCCTTTTCTACCCTCATACACGATATAGTCTGAATGAAAAAATGCTTATAACGAAGCACCTACAGGCAAACCCAACCAGCACATTTGGCAATAAACCGCATTTATAAGCAGCTTGTTGCTAGTTGTACCTCTGAAAAACGCGCACATATTTCATTCCCCTACATTACTATTGCCGCGTCTTCGCATCCAATTTATTATGCCACTGACATAATTTGCAGCTCACCCCCTATCGCATTCGTAAACCTGCTTTTATATAAGCCTATCTAGAAAGCCCTGAATAGGATGAAAGGATAACAAAACAAAACCAACAGGTGCCCCGTACCTTGTTTATCAGTTTGTTAAACAGTCGTCAACGCCGCGCCAGCGGCGTAGTCAAGCAGGGGGCTTCTTATAGAAAAAAAAAAAATCTTACCTCAAGAAATACCGGATATATTTTATAATTTGGTGCGTTTCCATTTGAAATACCATTTCGAAAATTAAAGTAAAACTAATTTTAAGTTTCATACTATCGGAATGAACTAGATCAAAAGCAGCGAGCTGACTTCGCTTTGCCGTCGAAAAGTTTCCTTTGAACTTCGAATTTCGCAGAATAATAAAGTTGCTGAATAGGTCAGAATATCACGGTGCTGTTCTAGTAATAAATATAGCGAGAGCAGAGCAGCATGAAGTAACTCGGGACTGAAACTATATTTTACGAGGCTATTATGAAATTTTCGTGAAATTCAGATATTTTCTAGGTAATACTTGCACAGAACTCAGCACAAAATATGTTTCGCCGTAATTTAATTGACTTACACTTGGATTTGCATCAAACTACATACAAGTTGTGTGAGATATTGCTTATAAAGTTTGTCATATCTTACAAGTTATATTTCACTCACACTCAAAACATACATAGTACCACTACACTACACCCAAATAATTCATGAGAGTGATTCGAGATCGGTCTGTCTAGGGGTTTTACTGACGAATCTTAGGTTTTTATTAGATATTGTGGGTGTAATTCATTGCTAGACGGAGTACTTAGCCTGCAGAGTAATTCTTTTCTATAATATCATTAGTTAGAAAGTACATACAGGGTGTTTCATAGCGAACTATACATACTGTAAAAGGCAGTGTTGCAATCTTAGAATGTTAGATGATTATATTATTTCAATAATTGCATTTTCTGTTTTAAATTTAAAAAGTGAAATATTATAAATCAGTACTGTACAACTAAATAAGAAATATAATAGTGAAATGTTTGTTATCAAATTTTTTTCAGTACTTTCAACAGTTAATTGCAATATAATAAATAGTAAGATTTATAATCTTTCGATGTAGATCATCGAAGTCTGATGTTTCTGAAGTAAGTGTTTTTTTGAATAGGACAATAGAAGATATAAAAATACACAATTTTCATTGAGCAACATGTGGTCTAAAATGTTACCTTAAAAAAAATTGTCAAATCAAAAAACAAACACAAAATTTTGAAAGTGTAAAACGTCTTCCCCCCTATTTAAAATTGTTCAGTTCACTTTAACGGTGTTCTACAATCTTTGACCGGCAGTTTGAACTGCTCTGGGATAGAGTATAACGATATAAGTCATATTTGAACCATATTCCTACTTCCAGTAAGTATATTCTAATTCTTGATTTGAATACGGCATTTTGAAAGAACACACTGTAAATCAATCTACGGTCGACGAGAGCAAGTAAGATTCATCCACGGACGCGCCGTGATAATAACTACACTGAATTTGACGTAGATGTTGCAGGGTCCGCCTAAGTTTCGTACAATAATTCTTAATTAACTTTCTGGAACACATGACACTTTAGACCACAAGTTGCTTAATGAACACTTACTTCAGAAACAGCCCGTATAGGTATTTGATTTTACTTTCCTTATTTTCCTTTAAAATATATATTTCGTTTATTTATGTTGCACATTCTAGGTACGTTTATTTTATTGTTTATTGTTCTTATCCGATTACTATCTACATTTAATGACTGTATTGTAATTTATTATACGACTTTTACCAACAGTATTCCGCAACCTAGAATAAACCTTATATTTTTATAACACTGAACACCCTGTATCTCGAAAACAAAACATTACTTAACTTTTGTTTATAAGATTTTCTTCGTTAATTTGTGACCTAAAATCCGCTATTAAAGTTTGGTCAAGCATTTCAGTTATACCCAGTATAAAGTAAAATTTTTATATACACACATATACAGGGTGTTTGTAAGTAAGTGCGAAATATTTTAAGGGGTGGTTGCCTAAGTTATTTTGTGAAAAAAAGTTAATATAAACCTAGGTCGAAATTTGCTTCGTTTCCGAGATACAGTGTTTAAATTTTAATTTTTTATTTATTTGATCCGACTATTTCTACTTGCACCAGTAGCGTTCATGCGAGAATGCCACAACTTTTTTTTTAATAAAAACAAATGGCACGCCACTGACTTTTTCCCGTTTTAATATTTTTTTTTAGAAATCCGCCATCAATTCTGAATGAAATTGATCTCTTCAATTTTTTTCGTAGGATGCACCGTTTTTGAGGAAAAAAATAAAACATATTTTATTGTAGGTTTTGTTAATATTTTATTTAAGGGTCTCTTATAATAAGCGTGGTCAAAGCAAATAAAAATAAATAAAAAATTAAATTTTAAACACTGTATCTCGGAAACGAAGCATATTTCGACCTAGTTTATATGAACGTTTTTTCACAAAATAACTTCGTCAACCACCTCCTAAAAAATTTCGCACTTATTTACAAATACCCAGTAGATATACTTTGATTCGTTGACATTTCCAACTATTTGGTATTGAGAATTTCTGTACCCCTACAATTTGAAATGTTCACAGTTTTAGTTAAATAAAAAATTGATAGCAAACTGTGTTTTGGTTCCGCTTTTTAAGTATTTAGGGTTGAAACCCGTTAAGAAGTCCCCGCCCCGGCGCCGCTGGCCGGAACCCTAATTTAATATTTACCCTCGGAAATTCCAGCCCGCTCCTGAAAGGAATCCTGCGAACGGCATGAGAGCGATAATTGAGGCAGAATAGCGGAAAATGTTAGCCTGCGTCTGCCAACCCGCGGACCCCGGCCTCTTCCGACGCTCCCCAATCCCTCTGGGGGCGCCCCCCTTAAAAATAACCAGCAGGACCGTCGCCCCCATACCCGGAAGGAGCGTCCGCATCTCGGGACCCGGTCTGGACGCCCTCAGAAACCATGAACCCGCGAAAATAGGCCAGACGTCGGTCCGGTCCGAGGAAATTCCGCAAACCTCCGAGAGTAGCAATGAAAATAGTAAAAATACAACTCGCGGGAGTTCGAAAGCCGCCAGCGAGTCGTCCTCCAAGTCGAGCTCTTGCGCCAGCTTGTCGGCGGTAAAAAAGAAGTGCGCGAAAAGGTGCAAACACTCCAAGAAAGGTGCTAGTTTACCGAACAGTAGCTCTAAATCAAGTGATAAAGAAGAGATTTCAAGCCTTACGCCGGATAGCGCGGACTGTGATAGGAAATTGGATGGGAAATCGAATGATTTCGAAAAGGTATGAAATTTAGATGTCTACAGTAGATATAGAGCTTATTTTTGTTCAGTTCTGGAATGCGATTATTATTATTTTGTACCTGCATTTCGTTTCTTGCTGCCTGCAAGGAAGTATGTATTAGAGATCGATCAAATTAAACTTTTTTATTATAATTTTTCCCACAAATATCTTTGATAAATAAAATGAATAAGTAGTTTCCCAGTATAATTCATAACTCAACCAAAATAATGAATAAGAAAGTACATTAATTATTAAAAAATATTATACAGTGGCCCCCGAGATATCCGAGATACTTCGTATTTGAATTATATGATAAATTTAAAATGATTATATTCACTTTTCCCAAATTCCCAACGGTTTTTAAAATATTGAGGTTTGAAGTTGCCAGTTGATAAAGAGTAAATTACAATTGGAAAAAAGTGTAGCTGATCAATGTGACCACCGCCTTGTGCAGTGCACAACTCAATCCTCTGTCGAAGCTCTCGTTCTCAGTTGTACTTCTCAATATTGTTTTTCACGACGCCATCAAACGCTGTATGAGTTTTATCAATGAGTTGGTATCTGCAATTAGGCTTTCCAATTGAACGGGTAAGAGTCTTCACATGTCCCCACATGAGAAAGTCTAACGGGTTGAGATCCGGATATTGCGGTGGCCAAGCAATGGGACCACCACGACCTATCCATCGATTCGGATACTTTTCATTGAGGAAATTAGTGACACCTCTTCTATAATTGGACGGAGCACCATTATGTGATTTGAAGAGAAACGTCCTGAAGTAGTAGAGGTAGATCTCCAAAAAAGCCCGGTATATCTTGTTGTGCAGTATCAAATCAATATTGACTATTCCTACCCAATCGTTTACGAAGAATTTTCTCTGAAAGTGGGTTTCTAGAATAGCATGAGAGTTTTCGATTGTCCACACATCGTTGTTGAAATTATTGATTCCATCTCTTGTAAATGTAGCTTCGCATCAGAAAAGAGTTATTGAAAAAGTATCCAGATGATTGCTCCACCATTCACAAAGACGAACTCTTTGAGGAAGATCCGTGGGGAGAATTTCTTGTACCGGTTGATAATGATGATCTTGCACAACCGTCCTACTTTATCCAGTAAGTACAGAAATTCTTCTCGTACTAGTACCAGGATAATTTTCAACAAGCTCAAGCACTTCTACAGCTTTGTTTCTCCGCATAACTTCTCTTTCACAAGTCCACCATTGGGAATTCGGGAAAAGGTAGTAGAATCATTTTTGCTTATTAGTCACAGAATTCACAAACGAAGCATCTCGGATATCTCGGCGGACACCCTGCATACACGCCTTTTCAATGACGTCGCTGTTAATAATTGCCATGGAATACATGCAAGTCCAGAAATCAATGTATTCCACGCACAAGCCTGAGTACAACCACATAGTGTTGCCAATATGCGGGTTTCATCCCCAGCGCTAGGGATTTTTTGAGTCAAAATTACAAAAAACAAAAATTTAAATGAAAAATATAGAATTTAGTTTTTAAATATTAACGAACAACAGGGAATGCAAATAGCAAAGCGGTATTTGTAGCCCTATACCCTACTGGGCTAAACGACACTTTAAAGATATAGCTAAGAATCTAAGTTGCCTCAATTTTTGTTCACATTTTATGTGACCACGCTCAGTTAAAACAGTGGTAGCCATTTTCAATATACATCGCGAACATAGCTACGTTGCGAACGTAGTTATATCTCGCTCTGTGTGACCCTAGCATTAGAGAATTTATTTTAGTTCTATGATTCTAAATTTTTGTGTATGTTCATTGAGTATTAATATTTAAGAACTTCTTCCATGTACAAATAAAGAATCAAATCTACATTGCTGCTTCAAGTAATGACGTATCCTTTTTAACGAATAAATGTACATATCAAGTCCTACAGCAGTCGTTGGGAACATTTTAATGAAGCGAAACTCAAAGGATTCGCCTGTAAATATCTCTCCTGAAAGCCGGAACGTACACACGCGCGTCCGTTTTTGTTATTAAAAATGTCGACGTGTTTCACTAACAGGAACGGCTGTTTTTAAAACGAATGAAGTGTTCCCCGTGTAATCCTATTAGGGGGAATTTATGTATAACGTTCCGTAATGCTTAGCGGGATTAACTGGCGATGGTCCACGATCGGGATTATAAAAGTGAACGCTGGAAATAAAACATGGAAGCGAATATAGCGCCAAATGGGCCGGATGTATATTTATCTCGTGATCGCGACACGTGGAAATTGACGTGGATTTTCAGTATTTCAGGATTAAGGCGGGTTTACACGTTCCGATGGATTTCTAGAATGATATGGGCATGGGATTCACAACATAACAAAACAAAATGGAATGTACAGTGCATCATCCATAGGTAAAAAAGAAACTAGATTCTTTTTGTGGTAATTTTCATGTTCCTTATATATGATTTAATTTTTTCATCCAATTTTAACAAAACCGCATCGAAATCAATAAACACAAATTAAAAAATATGCAATTAAAACGAAACCTACTAAAACATTTATCGTCCCATAAAAACCGAAAAATTAAAGTTTGTTTGCACAAATTTTAACGAGGACATAAAAGTTATAACAGGCAAACTAGTAAAATTAAATTAGTCTCAACCAAAAACAAATGGAGAGTTACAGATTAAGATTTATGGTACTTAAGAATATTTACGATGTAGTTTAGTTAAATTACAAAATGTAAAGCAATCAATCATCGTGCCACTATTAAAATTTTCAACGTGAGAAAAAATAGGTCTTTGTTAAGTCCCTGTTAAAGGTGCAAAGATAACAGCAATTATGAAGTCACGTCTATGCCTATATGTTTATTTTTTATATACAGGGTGACCCAGAACTGAGCCGCCATTACAGAAATAATTATCCAATTTATCTTTTTCCAATTTCGTATCTATTTTTACATCATGTGAAAGTCCTCTTTTCTCAATAACTTTTATTAAATATATCTTTTTAATATATCTTCCCTTTCGAAAGATGTCTATACTGATTTTGCCAAAAAACATAATATTTTGAATATTTATATTCCTTACCGACATATTTTAATTATTTTCTGCAAATTTGCTACATATTAAAAAAATGAAATAATGTACAGGGTGATTCAGTTAGAATGGGAATACGCGATTAAAAAAATTTAAACGTTGAAAAAATATTTTCAAATCATTATTTAAACCCTTTTTCGGGCCGCCCCTGACCGCTGACCCATAAAGGTTTATCGAGGGTGAATCTTGACCTATCGTAATATTCGGTCATTAACCTAGCTTTTAATACATTTTTAGTCCGTGAACAACAACAACGAATAAACAGTTTTTACTATGTATTATAATTGAATGTGAGTTTTTAGTATTTGCAATTAGTTCAGTTAATTATTCAGTTTGAAGTACGTATACCTTATTGTGTGACGTATTGCTTTTCAAAAAGTAGTACGGTAGGTACCTACCTATTTAAATTGACAGTACAACTAAAAAACAATCACCCATTAGTCCGTAGCACATTGTTAATAAAGGGATCAGCTACACTTTGATTTTGGAACCAACTGCAAAATTCAATGCGACTGGGGAAATCAGTTGTTTCGCTTCAACGTTCAAACGCTCTGTTCCCGAATACGCGGTTAAAATTAATGGCATTATGACTCAATCGCCCTGCATATGATTCTGATTCATCATCATAATAATGCATCATCATGCCATAGACATTCTTTCCTATTTACTCTTTACATTTCGTGTCAGTTTTATATTACATTATGAGTCGACAGTGCCAACAACAGCCAATAGTAGCAGATAGTTACTTAAGGTAAATTTACAATACACTGGGTTTAATCGCAACAATCGATTGTGTATTTGCCTTTGCATTTTTTGCTTCTTTTTTGGTATAACAAAGTAAATAAAAAATAACGAAGGATGTGAAATATTTTACGGGAATGTTACAAAAATATACATGCTTAAAAAGATGTATTATTTCTCCGAAAAACAGTACCCTTTCGTAAATTTCAAGTCTGGAAATCCGGATTAGGTATCTAAATTTAATTGCTGGGTCGTTTGTACATAATCTAGGTATCATTATTTTTCGATATTTCCATCAGCCCTGAGCTCCAAGGCAGGGTATCGATTACAAAGTCCAAGAGTAACTGGAAAGTTTGTCAATTAAACTTGGGGAAATTGATAAGACGCCTTAAATTCAAATGAGTTTCAACCTAAGACCCATCTACAGGTGATCGATAGGGAGCATTCCGTAGTGTTTTGTCTCATATTGTTAAAACGAAAAGTTAACTACTCAGTTTGTTAGGCAAGTGACATTACAAGGATATCATTTGAATTTCAAATAAATATTATATGAAGGCTAATATTACCTACTAACCAAAAAAAGACTAATCAAGTAAAAAATATATATGCACATATTAAAGACTCATCCTGTAAATTAGTTAGTTTACGTTAGAAAAACGCAAAACATATTATAAAAACAAAGCGAAAACTTATATGAACTCAATAAATACATTTTTTAAATTTTATTGTAGTCGTATTGTGTTTTTGAAAAAAAATCTATTTTCCTTAATGTTGCATGAAAACAAAGTACGACCCTGGAATGTACGATTCTCCCACGGACTTAAATAGTCGTATCAGCGAAGTGAATGCGCTTGGTTAGACAGAAGAGGCGTAAAGTAGAGGTCTTAGTTACAGTTTAGATGTTTGCTATGAACTGTTTGCAGTCAGTTCATTGGTTTGCCCAATAACTTCTCACAAGTATTCGAGATAAATGTTTATTTAATTTTCGACGGTTTACGCAAAAGGAATATTAGACGTCGGTGCTGTAATGTGTGGAAGTTTGCACATTAGAACTATTCTTCCAGTAACTGTAGAGACAAATACCTGTTAGAGACATTAAAGAGAAAAAGTAATTACGGTATTTATCGATCTCATTTCACATAGAACTTTATTTAAGAAAAAAATTCGTCGAAAAAATATCAAGCCTTCTTTTG